TTTTGTATTTTTTATTAATTTAACAAATAAACATGCATAGACAAACATACAAATAGTTACACAAAATATCACAAAAATTGCACATCAAGAAAAATTATTTTATTTTTGAATTTTTTGGGAGTAATTCTCATATAGGGCAAAAATCACGTGCTTACAGCTGCAACTAGAGTTATGGAGGAAAATGAATGTGATATAGTGACTGAATCTCCAAAAGACGAAACTGGTAGCACCTCAGAAATATCTAAGTAATTAACTGGACCTGTGAAGTATGATTGAGTTTCAAAGAAGGTAATATCAGAAGACATAAGAAACCACTGGAGGTCAGGAGAATAACATCGATATCCTTTTTGCATTCACGAGTAACCCAGAAATATGCACATAAGATCACGAGGAGCTAACTTATCTTTTCCTGGAGTAAGGTCATGAACAAAACACGTACTCCCAAAGACACGGGGTGGAAGAGAGAACAAAGGTAAGTGGGGAAACATGACAGAGAATGGTACTTGATTCTGATAGCTCAAAATGGCATACGATTAATAAGATAGCAAGATGTAAAAATTGCATCCCCAAAAAAATGCAGCGGAACATGAGATTGTATGAGTAGGGTATGAGTAGTTTCAATAAAATGTCTATTCTTTTTTTTCAGCTACCCCATTTTGTTGGGATGTGTACGGACAAGATGTTTGATGAATAATACTATAGGAGTTCATAAACTACTGAAATAAGGAAGACAAATACTCTAGGGCATTATCACTACGAAATGTGCGGATAGAAACCCCAAATTGATTTTGAATTTCAGCGTGGAAGGTCTGGAAAATAGAAAACAAATCAAATTGATTTTTCATCAAAAATATCCAAGTGCACCTGAAATAATCATCAATGAAATTGACAAAGTAGCAGAATCCCAAGGTAGAACTGACCTGACTAGGACACCAAACATCTGAATGGACTAAAGTAAAAGGTGGCTCTACTCGATTATCAAGACGTCGCGGGAAATGGGAGTGGGTATGCTTATCGAGCTGACATGACTCATACTCTAGAGAAGACAAGTGAGATAAGTCAGGTACCACTTTCTGAAGTTTTGACAAACTAGGATGTCCCAACCGTTTATGTAATAAATCTAGTGAATTAGTAACGGGACAAGTTATTGAAGGAAGACAATATGCGAGTCCGTGTGATTTTTCAAGGATAAGGTAATAAAGTCCATCTGATTCACATCCGGTACCAATGATCTGCCCTGTACTGTGTTCCTGTATAAAAACAAGGTCATCAAAAAATAAAATAGCAGATTTAAGTGATTTGGCTAAGCGACTAACGACTATCAGATTAAAAGGACTATCAGGAACATAAAGAACTGAGTCTAAAGGTAAGGAAGGAAGTGGACTCGCTTGACATATTGCAGTTGTCATGGTTTGAGACTCATTGGCCATTGTGACTGTTGGAAGAGATTGAGAATATGAAATACTAGTGAAAATAGATTTGTTACTAGAAATATGATCAGATGTACCTGAATCAATGACTCAAGACTCAGAAGTTGAAAATTGGGAGACACAAGTTATGCTACTATCTGTTGAAACAATGGAGGCTAATCCTGAAGATGTCTGCTTACGTGTTTTGTGCTGAAGGAACTCAATATAATCCGGTAAAGAAACCATCTAGATTGGATTCAGTGCATTCGATCCAACGGATGTGTGTCTAAGGCTTCTAATAAGAATGACATTATAATGTTCACACCGGAAAAAATCAGAAATCTTTCTGGATATTACTATTAACGCCAGAAAAATTAAAAAAATTCTGAAAATCACTATTCACGCCGGAAATCAATGTTCACACCCGAAAAATATAAAAGTTGTCAGAATTAGGTTTAAATTGGATAGGTAAGCTCAAAATTGCAAGACGATTACACTGTACAAAAGAAACTTTTTCAAATTCTGGCCAGAACAGCCCTCACGCGCCGACGCGTGGGATAGATGCGTCGCCGCCGTCAGAACACCGGCAAGCGTGTGTATGAGTGTTTTTAGGTATTTTTTTCTGGTGTTTGGTCGCCTATATCCTGGGAAACTTTTGGTGGTTTTGGATTTCGCACAACACTGATAATTAGTGACTTTGACGCAAATAGTCACTTAGGTCGCCTATCACTAAGTAAAAAAAAAGATTATATTGTGATCTTCTTAATATATGTACTTATCACTAGTAGTAGCAAGGATCTAATTGATGAGGCAAAACAAACTCTGCACAATAACTTCAAGGTAAAGGATTTAGGCGAGCTCAAATATTTCTTGGGAATTGAAGTGCTCAGATCACAGAAAGGGATACTTCTTAATCAAAGGAAGTATACCTTAGAATTAGTGTCAGATGTGGGACTAAGTGGTACAAAGCCAGTATTCACACCACTTGAAGCCAACATAAAATTGACTACTGCAGAATATGACAAGCTGACAGGATACACAGATGATCCTCTACTGGAGGACATAAGCAGCTATCAAAATTTAGTGGAAAAATTGATTTATCTAACAATCACAAAGCCAGATATTTGCTTCACAGTTCAAGTTCTTAGCCAATTCATGCAACAACCAAAGAGATCATATTGGGATGCATCGTTAAGAGTGACTAAATACATTAAAGGATGTTCAGACTTAGGGATATTCATGCCTAAGAACTCCACAATTCAGTTGACTGCATTTTGTGATGCAGACTGGGCTGCATGCCCCAAGACTAGGTGCTCAGTGACAGTTTATGCCATCAAATTGGGTGACTCTTTAATCTCCTGGAAGTCGAAGAAATAGCACACTTCAGTAAAAGCTCAGCAGAAGCTGAATATCGAAGCATGGCAGCATGTGTAGCATAAATTGTATGGCTGCTTGGTTTGTTATAGGACCTGAGAGTATCTATTTCTAGGCTAGTTCCACTGCATTGTGATAGTAAAGCAACTATCCAAATTGCTGCAAATCCCATATTTCATGAGAGGACAAAGCATATTGACATTAGGGGTAGACCCACATTGGTTCAAGGGGGTTTAGTTGAACACGCTTTGTAAATATTTTTATTATTTTGATGTGGAAATTATTTTTCAAAGAAAAAAGATTCGAATAAAATTAAAGCGATTGTAAAATAAAGTTGTGTGTTGGTCGGATGGTCCAAGCGGATTCAACCTCTGCAGATGGTCGTGTGTTCAAATCCCACCTTCAATAGTTTTTGTTTCTTTCTCTCTTTCTCAAAATGATGACAGCTTATTTGGCGATTTTTGTCCTTACACTTCTTCTGTATCTTTTATTGTTTACTTAGTGTCTTTCCATTGTCTTGGGATTTTTATATGAATTTATTAATTTTGCTTAGCTCTTCTATTGTTTTTTGTTAAGTGTTAGGGCAAATTAAACTAAAATTAATAAATATATAGAATTTAGTATTTTTAATATGATCAGGCAAATGTTTGTTACAGTAAAATTTTCTAAAGTTCAACAAAATGTTACATTGTAAAGATAAATAGTTCTATTTATATATATAGTGTTTTTTTTTTCTGAAAAATAGTGTGGCTTGAAAACAAAATAAAGAGTTTTGGGCAAATTTTCTTTTAGGGTTTTGTTACTAACCACAAAAAAAATATTAATTAAACATGTTTGTTTGTTAACTCAGTGTCACTTTTGCGGTCGATTATTTTTTAGGACTTCATATGTCTGAACCCGCTTGCATAAAAAACTGGGTCCGCCACTAATTGACATCGATTGTCATTTTGTTCGTGAGAAAGTGAAAAAGGGGATGATTCAGAGTTCAGACCACTTATCGGGCTACTCAGTCTCAGATTGCAGACCTGTTAACCAGAGGCTTAGGTGTAAACTAACATCATCTTCTTCTTTCCAAGCTGGGTGTGCTCGTTGTTTTCCACCATCCAGCTTGAGGGGGAGTATTGGAATATGGAAGAAGCTAGAGTAGTCACATAACTGTTAGCTGGTGGTTAGAAGTAGTTAGTGTTAATGAGTTATCAATTAGATGTTATTAGCGGTTAATATTTAGTTGATGAAGTTAGTTAAAAGCCACATGAAAAGCACGTGAGAAAGGGGAGGATATTTGCTATATAAGCTTGTACATGTATTCATTCCAAGTGAGCTAATATAGTTTTTTTTGTCTCATCTCTCTATTCTCTCCTCAAATTTATCCCAATCCCTAATTGTAGTAGACAATTTGACAAGCAAACTTTAGGATTCTTAACAAACATAACATCATGACTAAGATTTATCCTACTTGCCGGTATTGCTTACATGGACCTTTTGTTTTCTTGTTTTTATATTTTTCGCCAAATCTACATGGATTTGGGATATTTTAGGTTTTTTTGAGATAATGTCTTTTAGTAATTAGTATGATTTTCAATTTACCTTGTTTCCTTTTTAATATATTAAATGATTATGGCTTCACACTTACTCAGTGATGCATTTAGAGCTCCACGTATAACATGCATAATTTATTTTAAGCAATCTTCTATTACTTTATCATATAGGTTTGCTACTTGTACATATTATTGGATGAGACCATTTCTAATCTATATAAATTTAATCAAACCGATTAAAAATATATTTGGCTAACTTAGATGGAACAACCCAGTTAATGATTGTTTACCCTAAAAATGGATCAAAATTGAATTTATACTGTGGTTTTAAGGACACGTAATTTACTTAGAATAAATTGTGAGAAAACGTGCATGGATACTGAAATTAACTGCAAATATGAATAAAGCAAACCAAATGAAATCTATAGTTTTCATCCTTGAGCTGGGTTGCCCTCGAATCAAGTGAATATTTTGCCAAAAAGTATGAACAAAGTAACAGGAATATTGGGAGCTTAAGAGAAAGAGAATTTATTATTTTATATAACGTGAATATGATGTCCTTTACAAATGATCAGACCCTCTTTATATAGTAAGTGAATCCTATTCTTGGTACAATTCTAAATACAGTAAGAAATCTCATAATTGTCTAATTAATTGGCCTCTTCTTGATACGTGCCGAGATTTGCGCCGCGATCCTCGCCCGATTACGGATATTTCGTCATTCCGTTATTCGATCCAGTAAGCTTCCCTCGATATCTATCTTATTCGGTCCCGATCTTGATCGATCTCGATCTCATTCGGTCTCAGTTTTAGTCGGTCACGATCTCAATCGGTCTCGTGGTCTCGAGCTTGAAAACCTAACCTTACACCACATTTTGATATAAATCGAAGCCGATCCTTGACTTATCATGCTCCTCCCTCGATCAGCCGCACAAAAAAGGGCAAGCCCGATTTTGATCATATCTAGATAGTCCCCTCGTTTTTTGGATAGTAATGATAAGAAACGACTTGAGTCCTCGATCTTCACCTCGATACATCATAATGTAAGCACCATGACGTAAGCAACAGAGGTAACCAAAACATCTCGTCGGTACAGTTTCCTAGGCATTTAATGTGATCCAGTCAACGGTCGACCATTACCAAATTTGAACTGTCATTTTAAACTTATAAATATATCTTTCTTCAGTTTTCAAACTTTACTTTCAAATCTTCTTCACTCTAATCTTCAAAATCCTTTGCCTTCCTCAGAGCTTTATATTTTCATATCTCTGAGTTTCTTTACTTTTTCATCACAAAATACCAAGCGCTCTTCCTCCGTTTTATTCTTTTCCATTTACAAAAATGGCTAAGACTTCAAACACCATTCTACTAAAGAAAACTGCTTCTTCATCAAGGCCCGCTGGCGACGGAGCCGTGGCAGAACCTCCCCTAGAGGACTTCATTCCGACAAAGTGCCCCATTGCCGCCGATTTTAAATTAAAGAATACATCCTCAACATCGGGTCGATGCAAACTGATGTCGAGATACACATGCACAGTTACCGATGCTCTCCTCGACCAAGTTAAAAAGGACTGCAACTGGGTTGACAAGCACGTGGTAGTGCCCTCACCTGAGGAATCAATCACTACCCATGTGGAAGGGTTTTTAAGTGTTTACGCTAATCCTTTCACATTGGGTCATTTAGACCCCCATCATCATTGCTTTCTGCAAGAGGTACAATGTGACCCTTGGCCAGATTCATCCATCATCTGGAGGATCGTGATCCTCCTTCGATTTTTGTAAACAAGATCGAGGGGCATCCTTTTACCCTCGATCACCTTATGCGTCTCTATAGTCCTCGACTTTATCGAGGATGGTTGATCAAGATTTAACACCGAGCCACCAAATCCCCATTCTCAAGCATAGAAAAGACCTGAGACCGAGGTTGGATGGGATTTGTCCGAATAAAGACCTCGGACCTGATCCCTGCCGAAGACATGCCGTTTCCTGAAGAATGGAACATGAATCGCAAGTATTGCTTTGCCTCGGACATCTAACTTTCCGTTTTACTTCTTGTCTTCTTTCCCCATCTAAGTTTTTTGTGTTGCAGTTGTGGCCCACGTGCCGGAAGTAATCCCCGATCTCAGGCAATGGGTCGAGGGCTTAGTGTCGCATAAGTCTTACTCCGAGCGTGCTTGGATGGAGTTATCAAAGGGTCAATAGGAGGCCCGTAACCACGGTAGTTTTCTTTCTTAGAGAGGTTATCGTTCGAGTCTTGAATCGAGCTTACTCATCTTTTTTCATTTGTAGGCCTCGGAAAGGATATAGCAATGAAGCCCTCATCTACTAAAGAAGAGTCACTTCTCTCTTCGTCTACTTCAAAGCAGGCCAAAGAGAAGAAAAGAGGCTCCGAGCTCTCCGCGCTCGGAAAAAAAGACAGGTGAGGAGGCCCCGTAAGTCTAAGGGGAATGTCATCCGTCTAACTTTGGAGTCAGTCCAACGGCTAAGGTATGATGTCGAAGAAGATGAAGAAGAAGAAGAAGAAGAAGAAGAAGAAGAAGAAGAATAAGAAGAAGAAGACTTCGGGCTGGTGGCCCATGTGCGAACTGGCACTGAGATTCAAGGAACTATTGGCCCCCTGGGAGCTGAAACTGCTTTGCCTCGATTTGACGAAGTCCCTGAGCCAGAAAAAGTTGAAGACACTTCTCCTCGAGGTGAGAAGGCTACCGAGGAGGCGGTCGATGCTGGTGTAGAAACCATTCTCGAGGCTTCCCGAGATGATTGTGGAGCCCGAAAAGATTTGCTTGGGGCAATAGAGATTGGAGATTCCCCCTCGTTGCCTTCGCTCTCTGATTCGATGATCAATGATGCTTAGGCGATGGAGACTTGCCACGATGAAGGGGTCCATGAAAAAGAAGACCCTTTCAGTAATGATTTTGTTGGAGTGGAAGATGACACCGGTCTGGGTGACTTGGATGTACCGAGGAAGGGCTCGAGTGAGGCTTCCTCGAGCTTTAAATTGACCAATCAGATTTAGTCCCCTAGTGACGATCCCGGGCGTAACTGATGAATTATCATCTCGGTCCCGGAGGATGCTTGGGTTCTTTCTGACCCCGTAGGGGTGGCTAGCTATCTCCGATGCTTGGTCACCGAAGAAGACCAAGCCAAGATGGACGAGGTGGAAGTTTCTTGTTTGTTCAACGAGGCTCAACATGCTCTGAATCGGGTAAGTTCCAGGGCCATTCCACTATCTTTTTAAAACTTTGAATTGTAGATAGTTCTAACATTTTCTTCCTTACTTGTAGGCTTCGGAGCTACATCATGAGGCTTTCCTTCGAATCCGAGAGGAGCTCAAGGTTGAGGTTCAGGGCCTCACTGAGAAATGCAATACCTACAAGCTTCTTAGTGAGAAGCTTCAAGCAGATTTGGTGAAGGCTTGAGATGAGCATGCTGAGATAGCCAAGCAGGTATTCCAAGTGCTTCATG